TTATTCATAAAATCTAAAAAAAATGTATATATATATATATATATATATATATTATTTCATTACAATTTAATCCAATAATTATAGCCATCAAATTCATACTGTGTGCTTAACGAGTATACTCGTCATAGTTTAAATGTTGCGACGCCATTAGCTGTTTAAAATATTTGTACGGGTATTAGGGCTATGAGCAAACTTTATGCATACAAATATGGATGGATAAAATGGATATAGATGCTGAACTGCCAAAACAAATAAAAGTCATTGGTCATCAAGTTCAACGCTTTTTTTAAGACTTTAATGTCAATATCAGCCTTAAAATTCATGCCTTTTTCTTAGGCTGTTTTCCAAACTCTTTAGAAGAAATTATTTTATAGAAATAATTTACACTATACATAGTACTTATGCATTGCATAGCTTTACAACAAAACAAATCCACACATTTTCTGTTCCACCATCTAGGATAGGATGGGATATATTAAGTTAATCAGCGCATTTGTAATACCTCGAAGAAAGAAATTCATAGTCCACCTAATGACGATGATTTTTTCGTCATCTGCCCGTCTATGGCGAAGTTTCTCCTGATTGTTACAATTAAGTTTCTTCTGCAGCCAGATTAATATTGAAAATGGCTTAAATCGCTCTAAGGACATTGCTGCAGTGCTATATAAACTGAGAATACCCTATACTGCTCATAAACTTCTTTAGATGCAGGGTAAATGTTGCAATGAATATTTTACAAAAAAAAAAAATGGATATAATCAACCACGCCCACTCAATATTATAGAATTTAAAAAGTTGCGTTCTTGCGTTTTTCTTCTTTTTAGTCGTTTTTGGGTCTAACGAAGATGGCCGTCGGCCATAACTGAATCCTTATTGGCTCTCTTTTTTATTCGCTTTGCCCGAAACACTTATTAATATCTGAATTTCCACATTCGCTCATTCACCCACGAGAACTGTTCATCGCTTCATGATTCCTTTCTCACACCCTACAAGAAAACAATTACTATCTGATTTGAGGTTTTTTTGATCGATCTGATCTTGTGTGAACGGTAGATTACCTAAATCCAATTTTCCAATTTTTTTTTGAGAATCAATCACTGAGATTGTCTTTGCTCGACATGAAAATGAAAAAATTTAGTACTTTATGACAAAAACAAGTGAACAAGAATAAAATCTTTCATAAGACCATTCAATTTAATAAGCTACAATAGCCTCAGCGTACGCTTCAACTCACCTCCTACATAAGAGATTCAAACCAAAAGTACGTTTTTACATGAAAATAATACGTAAATCTTGGTCTATTTTATCAAGAAAATCAATGCAGAACTGCGTTAGGTGAAGTGATGTCGATCATGTCTGACTATAATGGCTTCACATTTCCACTGGTCAATATCTAACCGAATCTAGATCTAATCTAGCATTAGATGTGAAAAAAATCGTTTCGTTATTTGCGCCCCCATACTAATAGAAGAGCTTTAATTTCAAGAAGTGAAAAAAATATTGCCGCTATATCTAGATCTTTTGATGAAGAATCTAATCTGGGAACAAATATCCTCCCCATTGTGCACTTACAGTATAAGACAAGGCCCCAATGGGCCTGGTAATGGTAACTGGCAAGAGAGCAGGGTTAGTAAAAGTAAAAGTCAATGAGACAAGCGCTTAAAGGAAAATTGTTTCACGTTACGTTGTTTGATTTTGTTTATCAGGCCGGAATTAAAAATCATTTGACGATCGGCCGTAAACTACTTTGCAATCTACTAGAAGTCCTTCATTACGATCGAATTTAAACGATATCCCGAGCGATGAAAAATTTCTTTACGATGCACTATATGAATCATTCCTTAATGGAATTATTGATCATCGGATTGGAAATTTTATTTCCAAGTAGAAGAACGTAATACAATTGTAAGATGTTCAAGCTTTGAAGCCATAATTCATGGTAATCTTAACTAATTAAACGATTTTTTCTTTTATTTGTTTAAGCAGAGTTTTATTTAAGGTTTTTTTATTTCTTTTTGTTTTTTAAGTTAATAACTTTTTTTAATACAAAAATTATAAAGAATTTTTTTTTATTAAATTAAAAAAAAATTTAAATAAAAAATTTCATAGAATAAGGCGACATTATGAAAAAGAAAACAAAAAAGAAGAGAAAAACATTATTTCAAATTAAAACGAAAAGAAAAATAAAAAAAATTATAAATTTTATCATTAACTTTAAGAAAATGATTGTTCATAAATGCTTAAATTAAATATTTTGCTGAAAATATATAAAGAAAATATTTAAAAATAATTTTACTTTTATATAATAAACAAGAAAAAATATCGACTTGAGCCGAATTCGTTACACTCATCACCTTTACGGTAAACATTCTTCGTATCTATGATAATCTTTCAAAAGCATACATACATACATATGTATCGAAAATGCAAAAGGATGAAGAAAATACGATATTATCACATACGTAAATAGATGAGAAAATTTACGGAATTTCTTTGATTCGAAGTGAAAGGTGTTAAGAATGACGTGAGAGTTTTGCATTTATCTGAGAATCTCAAATCTAAAACTAAATTTCTATTTACGATAATTGTCGTTGCTTTGATAGCCGTTTCAATCCAGAGAGCTATCTAGAGCTCCCGAAATAATGTGACATCAATTTGATTAAATGGATTGATAGATGGACATTCAATCAATCTGATAACTGATGGTAAACAATGACATTTAAGAAATTATTGATAATCACATCTTAAGTTTCGATGATAAGTATAATGTAGAAATTCATCTAAACTTTTATTTAATAGCATTTTCTGCTCTTCAATTGTTATTTGAAAATAATAGAAAAATAATAATAATAATAATAATAATAATAATAATGATAATGATAATGATAGTAATAATGAAAAAGAAAATCATTGGCACACAAGTTGCAGTCGTAAAACTTTTTATAAAACTAAAATATTTATATGGAAAGGAAAATAAAAAGATTTTTTTAGGATATAAGAAATATATGAAATTTTACAAATAAAAAATCAATCAAATAATAAGAAATTCATGAATTTGTTAAGTGAAATATTAAAATTAAAAAAGAAAAAAAATTGAATTTTTTAAAAATTCGAAAACGCGAAGAAACAACTCTTTAGAAATATATTTTCGAAATTGAAAATTTCATTTTTAACGCACTTGAGGTGTTTTTTTTTGTTTTTTTTTTTTTGATTAAATTATATTTTGTTTTTTAATAATAATTTTTATAATTATTTTTTATTTATTTATTTATATATATTTTTTTGTTTTCAAAATAAACCGATTGCCATAATAACTATAACACCGATTATAATTAAGAGCATTGTTAAGAGATCGTTATTTGTAAGGGTACCCAATGTACAAGCGACAACAATGTGCTCTAAAAGGGTTAAACCATTCACCATATACCTCGGTTCCCCGAAGGCATTCACCACAGTTTGTACATCCGCATTAGCACTTGTACGGGCTTTCTCATCGTCAATGCCGTTCTCCTTTATACCGGATTGCAATTGCAATCTTAATCTTAAATTATCATCCCTCTCAATAAAATTGTCAGCATCGTGACTCTCCTTAGCAATTTGTAACTTTTCCATATTCCCTTCTATGTCAACATTCTCTTTCTCAAATATTTCATTCGCTTCCGTTGATGGTATAGTAAATTCGTATTTGATTTTCTCTTCCATTAAATTCATTCGAATTTGTGGCGTTTCATAGACAAGATTGCTCCTACACTGACATATTGACGTTTCGTTAGTTACGCTACAATCCAACAATTTGCTCTCTGCATTTAAATAATCATTCAGTACTCTTCGCTGCTCGTTATCAGAATTCGTTTTATCATCGTTCCCGCTATCGTTTAGCACTTCAGCGTTCATTTGAATTTCATTTTCGTTAACATAATTGTTATGATTAATACTGTCACCTTTAAAATAAATGTCAGTCCAGCTGTCATTAAGGCGTTTCTCAGCCGATTCATCTACAACTTGCAATTTTTCATCAACCAAAATATCTTCTTGCTTACGGGTATTTTCTTCGTATATTTGCAAGATTTCTTCTTTTTGTAAATTCTTACTTGCGCTCCGATCAAAGTCCAAGAATTCTTTAGATTGAATTTCTTCAGCTGGTGTCGCTTTAAGCAAATTGGAATCGTCATCGCTTTGAGAGCTCTTAGACTCCGTCAAACTTTGCGACAATTTTTGGCCGATGGGCGGGCGAAAAATGTCCTCTACTGTTGATGCGGTTAGAGGCTCGCCATTAGAACTATTTATAGCGACTTCAGTTATAAAAGTATTGCTAATGGCATATTTCGTATTGTAATGACTTTGCAATTGCAGGGTAGCATTAGCGTTTGCAAGATTAGATAAAGGAAAGTCGGCTAGACTTACATTACCGGAATCGGGATTTGAGCATATCTCTTCGAGCGAATTTAATGATTCAAATTGTGTAATTCGCTCGTGTGGATGACAGTGATCTGCTTCTAGAGCTTCTAGAGGCCTTTCTATAATTATATTTAATTTGCTAGCATAAATTTTATTAAAATTATATGAAAATTTCTCTTTCTCTTTTTCTTCCTTTTCCTCTATCTCTTTCTCTTCGTCTTCATTTTTATTATCTTTGTTTTCCTCATCTTTTTCATTTTCTTCTTCACTCTCTGCCTTTTTTCCTGACATTGGTAACATATTGATAACGTCTAGTACATTTTCTAGCTTAGTTATATGAGTATGACATGGACTAGCATTCGTGTTAGTATGACATGATTCAAGGTAACTAATTTGCGGAATTAAATGAGTAGTGGTAGCAAGACAAACATTGGCTTTAGTAAATGGTTTAGTAGTAGTAGCTGAACTGCAAAACGATAAAACATGTTCAACGGCAGGCGAAGATGCATCTGGATTAGATTGAGGAGTATATAAGTACATAACGGTTGCAGTGGTATTAGGTGGTAACGCTTTATCTGAGGAATTACTCGTAGTTTCGTTACCTTGATTCCTTGGGGAATTCTCATCTACATGACCAAATATCTGAGCCAATTCCTCGGAAGAATTGTACTGAGATGGTGACGAAGAATGACCGTTCTGCGGCCGTGCACTAATTATATTCATATTATTAGACGTTGATTGTACCGGTTGCTGCGGTTGCGGT